TCGGAGGCCCGGGCGGCGCCCGCGCGGGCGGAGAAAAAGGCCATTACGGGTGAGGAACTGCGGGAGTCCGTGCGTAAGGAGATTGCGCGGCAGCGGGAGCAGCGCGCGAAGGAGTTTGTGCGCGACCCACGCCCGCACTTCAACATCGTCTTTTGTGGCCATGTGGACGCGGGGAAGTCAACCATCTCGGGCCACCTGCTGATGGAAAAAGGGCAAGTTGACCAACGTGAGATGGCGAAACTCCGCCGCAAGGCTGAGACCCACCACCGTGAGGGGTGGGAGTACGCGTACGTGATGGATGTCTCGGAGGAAGAACAATCGAAAGGCATCACCCGCGAGACAGGCGCGGCTTATATCGAGACCGAGAAGCGTCGCATCACAATTCTGGACGCCCCTGGCCACAAGGCCTTCGTTCCTTCCATGATTGGCGGCGCCACGCAAGCCGATGTTTGTGTGCTTGTCATCTCCAGTCGCACCGGCGAGTTCGAGACCGGCTTCGAACGCGGCGGGCAAACCCGCGAGCACACGACGCTTGTGCGCACGTGTGGTGTAAAGCAAATGATTTGTGTGATCAACAAGATGGACGAGATGAAGTGGAGCAAAGAGCGCTACGACGCGATCGTGGGCAAGTTGCGCCCCTTTCTTCGCCAAAACGGCTACGAGGAAAAGAACAAGAACCTCATCTTCATTCCGATCGCGGGCTTTACTGGGGACAATCTCATCAATCACACCGACTCCGGCCTCTGCCCGTGGTACACTGGCCCTACGATGATGGAAGTCGTCGACGAGCTGACGCTGCCAGAATCAAAGAGTGAGGATGATGTGCTCTGCATCCCACTCGTCGGCGCCTACAAAGACGATGGTAAGAGCTTCATTTATGGTAAAGTGGAGGCCGGGTCGATCGCGGCTGGGGAAAAGATCCAGGTCCTTCCCACCAAAATTGAGGCCATCGTCGAAGGGATCTCCATTGAGTCAACGGAATTCGAAAAATGCTATCCGGGCGACAACGTTCACCTCCGCGTGCGTGGCATCGATGAGATGGACATTCACGCCGGCTATGTGGCCACTTCGGTCCCCACATCAATGCGTGCGGTGGAGTTTATCCAAGCGCGTATTGTGGTTCTCGAAGTCAAAAACATCATTAGCGCTGGGTATCGTTTCATGATACACATTCATGCCGCACAGGAAGAGGCTTCATTCCACAAGCTGCTGGCTAGGCTGGATCGGAAGACCGGTGAAGTAGTGGAGAAAAATCCCGCGTGCGCGAGGGCAGGTGACTCGCTGATGGTGCGCATCGAGTTGGAACGCCCTATCGTCTGCGAAGCGCACAAGGATTTTGACAAGATGGGCCGGTTCATGCTTCGTGAGGACGGGAAGACCTTCGCGATTGGTCTCGTTACGAAGCTCTACGAATCCACGCACGAGTCTCTTGGAAAGGATAAACCTAACTGAGGAAACTCAAAAATTTCCAAGAAATACTGAGGCGAAAAAAGTAAGGACAAAGCTGAAGGAGTGAAATGGAAGGTATAAAGTGTCTGTCTTTTGTTTATTTATTTTAATGATTCCGTATGATGCTTCTTTCGCACTAAGTGATATCTATATGTTGAAATATGGCTATGTGTACTCGTGGGAAGTGTTCTCTCATGAATATAAAGCCACTACGTGCATAGGAACTGTAATGTGGAAACTCAGATAACAAAAGTGGAATAGGATTCACCACTCGTAAGAAAGTCTTATGAACGGCATCATTTACACTTTAAGGTTTTCCATTATCATATGTTATTGTTTTTCTATAGAAGAAAACATGAGAAGGAAAATTATTCTTGTGTACACTTTGAAGGTGCTTGCTAATATCCCAATAAGTATTATCCCCATAGAAGTGATCGCAATTGATTAATTTCGGTGAAGGGATGCTTATTTTTCCATTTTTTACGTATTATACTCAACGAAATAAACACTCAAATGTCCATTGCTTGCCTTTTTCTCATTTACCCTTCATGGAAATTTATTCTGAGAATAAAATATAACTAATCTATGATAATAATTGTAACTGGTGCAATTGGTGGAATCAAACTGGAGGTTGAACCCCCATTCTTTTC